TGAGGAGGAGGAGGAGGAGGACGACGACGACGACGAGGAGGAATGGGGGGGGGGCACGCAGGACGAGGAGAAGGAGGGGGAGGAGGAGGAGGAGGAGGAGGAGGAGGAGGAGGAGGAGGAGGGAGGAGGAGGAGGCGGAGGAGGAGGGGAGGGAGGAGGAGGAGGGGAGGAGGAAAAGCAGGGGCAGGAGCAGGAGGGAGAAGAGGAGGAGGAACAACATCAGCAGGAGGCGGAGGAGGTGGAGGACGGGGAGGACGAGGAGGAGGAATCAGAGGAAGTCAAGGAGGAGGAGGAGGAGGAGGAGGAAGAGGAGGAGGATGATGATGATGAGGAGGAGGAGGAGGAGGAGGAGGAGGAGGAGGAGGAGGAGGAGGAGGAGGGGGGGGAGGCGGAGGAGGAGGAGGAGGAAGAGGATGAGCAGGAGGAGCAGGATGACTAGCAGCAGCAGGAGGTTGAGGTGGAGGAGGTGGAGTAGCAGCATCAGGAGGAGGAGCAGTGTGGCCCCCCTGCCTTGTTCAGCCAAGGGAACCCACAGTCTCGCCAGCGGAAGATCAGTACGACGGAGGGACAGTAGGAAAGCAGTACAGAACATAAAATTGTGGATCATGACGAAGAAGAGTTTGCTACTACCCGTTTAGCACTTCGCTCTAAGACAGCGTTGCGCCTCAATGTGCGCATTGGGCGTTACGCCCACCTGACGAGCCTCGCGCCCAAAGAACATCAGCGCTACGCTGAATAAGGCAGGCATTACGCCTCAACACACCCCTGGGCACTACGCCCACCTGAAGAGTTTTACGCCCAACGTTCTAGACTATTACATTATTCCTCCTAGAGCATTGCGCTCTTCTCCCCTACAGATAAACTCAAGGGCTTACGTCCTGCTGTGGATCCTCCCCTATCCTCCTCATCCTAAGTAGGCGTTGCGCCTTCGACTACGCCCTGGGCATTACGCCCATGTGAAGAGCATTGCGCCTTGAGTTATATGAGCATTACACTCCAAGGTGATCATCTGGTCGTAACCTCTCCGAAACGTGGTTGGCATAGGCTCGCTCGCGGGGTGGCCTGCTTGCGGACGATGGCGGGAAGGAAGGGGGTATCCTTATCCGCCTCCTCCTGCTTGCCCCCTCCTCCATATCGTCTTCCGCTTCCTCTTCCACATTGCAAAACTCGTCGCCTCCACCCCTCTTCTACATTATTTTTCCTCCCTACGCTCTGCACCAACGGCCACCAAACACTGATATGTTTTATCATTTCTATAACCTCCTCAAGCGAATGGCTACCAAACACTGCTATGTTCTTGAATTTCTATAATTTCTATAATTCCCGCAACCATTCGGGCCAGCCTGCAATGGTTGGGGGAATTCTAGAAGTTATATAAATCATAGAAAATATGAGTATTTGGTGGCCAGTCGCTCTAGGATGTTACAACATTCAAGGAACTAATAATGTTTGGTGGCCGCTGGTGCAGAGCGTAATGAGGAAAGGAAGTGAAAAACAGGAGTGGAGGCCGCCAGGTGGAGTCCCCCAGGTGGCCGCTGGTACAGAGCATGAGGAGGAAGAGGCGTCGAGAAGAGGCATTTCACGCCACATAGTCTTAAATATCAACCTTACGTGGGCCCCATTGGGTTGGCATGGTTCCGGGTTGGCCGCCGGCCGGGTGGGGGAGAGGGTGTATATTAATAGGGAACAGTGGTAATCCCGTCCCCGAATGGGAAGAAGGGGGTTAGGAAAGAAAGTTTTCTAGAACACTTACGCCCTAATGGGCTGGTGGGATTATAAAGCAGGGGCCGTTGTTGTGGCAGGTGGGCCGTTTCGCACTTGGCTGATTGACGCAGGGGTGTCGGGCGAGACAGCCGTTCCTCAGTTTTGGGGCCTCTCTGGCCAGAGCGTCCCCGTGTAAATCGCAAGGAAGAATCGAGCGGGAGCCATTGTTGTCGCAGTTGGGCCGTTACCTACTTGATTTAACAGCGTGGAGGCCTCGAGTCATAGCGCGGTTCCTGAATAAGTTCTGAGGGAGTATCGAGCGGGAGCCGTTGTCGTCGCAGCTGGGCGTTCACAACTTGAGTGAAGTCCGAAGAAGTCTCGAGCGAGAGTGCAGTTTCTGAGTTCGGAGGCCTCTCTGGCCACGGCGTCTTGGGGCAAACTACAAAGACGTATCGAGCAGGAACCGTTGTCGTCGTTCCCAGGCCTTCACAAGCTTGGACTACCTGACGCTTCCGACGCCCTGCATGCTTGCACACTGGCAGTACTACTCAGTTTCAGCTAGCCCCCTCCATTCGCTTGTCCGCCGCTGAGTTGCTGCGTCAGGCTCCGCTTTGCCGCTTAGGCTTCCGCTGCTTTAGGGGACGCTCTTGGGGCCATTTTGGAGGAGATCGATCAACAAAGATGGGAGCTCTAATTTCCGACCCCCCTCGGGAGCTCCAAATATCACTTCTTGGGCCCCTATTCGGGCGCACTTGGAGCGCTCTTGGGGCAGTCATGGGACTCTCTTGGGCCTCTCTTGGGACCCTCTTGGGCCATCTTGGAGCCATCTTGAGGCCTCGGATGGCCATCGGAAGCGAAACGGCGAGAACGCAGTTGTTTTTTGATTTTCCCTAGGTTTCGGTCTCTTTGCGGCCTCCTGGTGAGGCTCCGTGGCAACTTAGAGCCGCCTTGGAGCATTCTTGGGGCTTCTTGGAGCATCTGGAGAGCCAGATTGAGCCATCTTAGGCTATGCTGAGCCATCTTGGGTATCATCTTGGGCGTTTGGGGGCCCTCCTAGAGCCATCTTGGGCCATCCTGGACGCTCCAACGACCCGCGACTCCACCCCTGCAGGTCCAGGGGAGGGGGTATGGGGGAGGGGTCACGACACCCTGCTAGATAGCAAGCCGCCTAGCTCACTCCCACCCGCATCCCAACACAGAAGTCACACCCGAGCCTGAGCATGTTCAGCGGTCGTCTTTGGATAGGCAGCTACTGGGAACCAAAGCCGACCCCAGGTGCGCGACTCTTGGGCGAGGTGCGCCACGCGCGCCAGGCACCCCTGGGGCCCGAGCGTACCAGGCACGCCTGGTGCGCCAGCTGCGCCATGTCCCTCCGCGTGCGTCAGGTGTGCCACATACTCCAGCCGCCCCAGGTGCGCCAAGTTCGGGGCACGTGTCGAGTGTGTCAGGTGCGCCTGCGCACGTGAAAACACACATCTGGAAACATGTCGGCCCCCACCATCCATGTCGAAAACCAGTGCCCATCATGATGTCTGGTGGGCCTGCGCACAGCAGGCCATAACACACCATTTGGCAGTGCTCGCGGGGTGGCCGCGCACGATCCAGATTTATCCACGAGGTGCATTATGTATTGTCTTCTTGGGGTCAGAGATGTTAGCCCTGCGCACAGCAGGCAACATGCTGACACCCACGCCGCCCCTGTCAAAAAACAATACAAAATGCTCGCGGGCCTCACGGACGTGACTCCAGACTTTGCCCCCATGTGTACTTTATATTGTTTTCTGGCGGACGGTGTGGGGGGGGCCCTCATAGGGTCTTCATTGTTGTTGGTTGGCTGCCGGTCGCGTGGGGGAGGGGGTGTATATTAATAGGGAACAATGATTAAACCCTCCCCGAAGGGGAAGAAGGGGGTTTGAAGGGAAAGCTCTCTAGACCAGCTACGCCCTAAATGGCTGGTGGGGTCCTCGGGCGAGAGCGCCATTCCTGAGTTGGGGGGCCTCTCTGATCACCGCCTCTAGGAGTAGATTAAGAAGAAGACGACGTATCGAGCGGGAGCCGTTGTCGTCGTAGTGCGACATTTGGAATCAAGCCCGCGCTCGAGCGGACGCCGGCGTCGAGGCGAGTTCGTCCAGAACCGTTCCCCGAGATCAGCAGTAATAAACAAGTGGAAATGCGTAATTATTCGACGACGACAACGACGATGTGTTCCGCTCGCCCGTTCAACTTACCCACGATGACGTGTCCCGCCCGCCCGACCGACCGACCGAGTCGCGGGCTAAGGACGACGACGATGACGACGCCAATGACGACGATGACGACGACGACGACGACGACGACGGCGAGCGGCGAGCGGCGAGCGGCGGCGACGACGACGACGACCGACAACGACGACGACAACGACGGACGAAGACGACAACGAAGACGACCGACGACGACGACGACGACGAGGATGAGGACGACGACGACGACGACGACGGAAGACGACGGAAGACGACGACGACGACGACGACGACCGACGACCGACGACCGACGACCGACGACGGACGACGGACGACGGTGGTGTCCAGCCCGCCCCACCCACTGGCCGACGATGACGTCGATAATGTGTCCCAGCCGCTTGCACGACCGACGCTCAGCTCCAGCAAACAACGAGGACGACGCGGCTTTCGGAGGGGGGGTTGGGGTGGGGAGTTCTCGCTGGGAAGGGCTGGGGTTGGGTGGCATGGGCTCCGAAGAGGAGAGAGGGGAGGTGATTTTCAAAGAAAGGTGGGCGGGGACGGTTCCATGGCGAGGGAGATAGGTACGTTGCATTAGTGAAGGTTGCACAGAACACGCTCTCTCTTTCGTCTCGACATCTACCAGGTCCTGGGGGCCGTTTCTCGTCCGGCACCTAGACATCATCAACTTAGCAGTGGTTCTTGCCGTTTTGCCAGCCGTTGGAAGTGCTGTCGGGGGAACGGAAATGATTGAAAGCATGAGGTCGCCAAGGGTTGCCTCACCTCCCTGTGTAACAAGTCAAGGGCCCAGCCGAAATACATGTTGGGGTAAAATCGTTCAGTGCCACCGCAAACCAAGCATCCCTATCAAAACGCGCTTCCCCATCAAAACGCGTGATCCGCCAGGATTGCCATCGGCGCCCTCCTGGTCCCGTCCATCCAACGCGAGCGCTTTCCATTGCGAGCGTCGCGCGGCGAAGACTGGTGGGCAAAACAGGGAGAGTGATGTGGGATGAGAGGGAAGAGGGAGGGGGTGGGCGGGGCGAAGGGTGGGACGAGGAGTATAATTGACGAGCCAAGGCCAGCTCAGCAAGGGCCAGAAGCAGTTCAGCCACATCGGCCGGAGGCTCTTCGTGCTCACTTCCCCGCTGTTCTGAGAACGCCTGGGCTGAAGAGTCCCTCGCGCTGTTCTGAGTACGCGCGACTCCTCCCAATCCCCCCGTGGCTGATCCCCTTCCTTCTTCTTCCTTTCCTTCTCTTCTCCCCCCGCCCCATCCCCTCTCCATCTCCCCGCCTCCCGCTCCCTCCTCACGCTTCCCCCCTCGGCTTCGGGACGACAGTCGACCCGATGCTTGCCACCATTCCGTTCTGTCCAGTGTCACCCCGCTTAGAGCCACAGGCAGGCCAGGTGCCGCAGAGGTGATCGCTGGCAGCGACTTCGGGTGGCCCTCCCCGCGGCGATCCCACGAGACAATGGTACCGCAGGCGTGGTTCAGGTGCAAGACTGGGCCTCAGGCGGAGGCGAGATGGGGGAGGAGTTTCGCGTCGGCCGGCCGTCCCCGCGAGCCCTCGGGCCCCCTCCCCCACGTCGTGGTGGCTCCGCCGTCCCCTGCACCCTTTATCCGACAACGGCGCAGGCACTTGCCCCGTCATTGCGTCAGTTCCTCGTCCTATCGCACCGATCGCTCGAAATCAAGCTCACTCATGCCGCAACCGTCCCGCTGGCAAGACAGTTAGGCAGCGCATGTTGGCCCAGGAGTGACCGTGCTGTGTTTGCCGCTGTGCGGTGCCACGCTGCGCTGCATCCAGGGCAGAGGGGAAGGGGACGGAGGGAGGGAAGGGGAGAAAGGAGAAGGAGTGGAGGTCCAGTTCCCAGTTTTCGCATCGTTCCCTGCCTCCAGATACTATTGTGCCCTGCCCCTTCCTCGGGTAGCCTCCTAGGGCGGCACCACGGCCAGAGGTAGGTCGGAGAGTCGGAGACCATCACCTGCTCGCTGCCAGCGATAGCCGGACTTGCTCGCACGGCCGAGCTGGGCTGCAATTGTCCGCGACGACCTAATGACCAGCGAATTAGAGGATTGTTGGTCGGGTTCGTTGGGCTTACGCTTGTGCGCGGCGATGACCGTGCGGAGAAGTTTTTGGATTATTTCTGCAGATGTTGATGCACGATCTAGCGCACCTAGGGACCATCGAGTAGTTGTTGGAAAGGAAAGGGTACCTGACAAGTGCGTGGCACGTCGCTCAAGAACTTGCATATCTGAGTATCAAGCTTGGGAAGCAATCGGCAGCCCCGTCCAAACGCAAGCTGGCATTTGTGTTGTTCTATCGAGTTGGAAGATCAAAAAAAACGTATATGTCGGGTTTACATGTTCAACTTGCGATTCGTTTTTGGTTATGCTTGTGATTGAGATTCCCATGTCTATTAACCCCGTGAAGTTCATGCTTGGTCTTACGAGTTTTTCACCTCGTTACATGTATGGTAGCATGCCCCATTTATGGTGAATGGGTCCTCTTACTTTCCGAAGGCGTCTCTTGTGTTCTTCAGGGTTATTTCCATCTTCATGTTTGGTCTCTCACCGCTAGATCGTCCACTAGTGGCGCTGGAGTATGTTTGACTGTATGAACTGATCGCACTAACGTATCGCAGGGGGGTCGTAGAATGTTCATGCGAAGTCGCCTGGTGGATTCCGCCGTATCTCCCAGGGTGTATTTTTCTTTTTGGGTGCGGGGACAGAGGGGCGCCCATTTCCGCACTAGCCGGCGCCCGCGGCTTCGTTGTAGCCAGCCTCATCCCTCCCGCGCGCCTCCGCTTTTCCCAGCGCCTGGCGGGCCCCAATACAGAGTGTGGTTTCTCTCGTGGTTTGTGTTGCTAGCGATACCTCCAAGAGGGCGCCGGCGTCAACAATAATGGTACGTTGTTGGTCTTGGCGACAGCGGTGGACTTTCCAACTCCAGAAAGCATTTAAGACCCCCCCCCCTTCCGGTGAAACGATAACGCTTCCGGCACCCTGGAAGCGCTACCTCGGCACCAGGAGGCGCCCCCTTCATTCGATGGCGATAAGACCCTCATTCGGTCGTCGTCGTCGTCGTCGTCGTCGCCGCTTCCGCCGCCGCCGCCGTCGTTGTCTTCGTCGGCGTCGGCGTCGGCGTCGTGGAATCCTATTGGAAATCCGATTGTGTTCGAATCCTGTTGGGGTCCTATGGGAATCATACTGCATTGGAATCCGACTGGTATCCAATTGGAATTTTGATGGACTTCCCAGCGTACTGGAATCCAATTCAAATAGGATTCCAATAGGAACCCTGAATAATAGAATACACTAGGATTCCAATGGGATTCCAATAGGTTCTAACTGGATCCGACTAGGATTCCAAGACAATACAATACAGTAGGATTCCAATAGGACTGCAATAGTATTCCATCAGATTTCAATCAGAGTCCAGTGTGATTCCTATAAGATTCCACGGATTCCAATTGGATTCCAATTGGACTCCAATACAACACAATAAGATCCCAGTACGACTTCAACAGTTTCCCTGTAGGTTTCGAACAGGATTCCTTCCAGATTCCAGCCAATACAATAGGATTCCAATAGGAGTCCCACAGAACAGGATTCTTATACATTGCCAGTTGGACTCCAATACGATATGCTTCCAGTAGCATGTACATAAGATCTCAATTTGAGTCTAATACAATAGGATTCCGACAGGGTCCCAATGATATCCCAATAGTTTTCCAATACACTATGATTCAAACAAATCCCAATATAGGATTCCAATAGGGTCCCAATGAAATCCCAATAGGGTCCAATTCAACAGGATGCCAAAACAGTCCCAATATAGAGTACCAAACTGATTCCGAAAAAAATAAGATCCCATTGCGCAGGATTCCAATAGGAACGCAATTACATGCCAATAGAATCCCAATGCAACAGGGTTCCAATAGCGTTCAAATACAATTGGACCCAGTAGCGTGCCAATAGGATTCTTATTCGCATTATTTGTATCCGTGGTCTTTTCGGTCTTTTCGGATTCGTATTATTTTTGTTATCCTTTTTGGAGGACTATTCAAGGGGCGGGGGCGCTGGTATTAATTATTTTCTATGCGCGCGCGGTGCTAAGATATCGCTCCGTGCGTGGTGGGGGCGATATCGTAGGATGGACCTCCCTGTACGACGGCCGGGGAAATGAAAGCCTTTGCATAGGGCAGCCATATATAATTGATAGGATTAAGGCGTACGGCAGCTCTCCAAGTATATGCATATATCATATATGATTCCAACATGATGCCAAGCTGATCCCAAATATGGTACCATCATACTCGGATTCTAATAGGACTTGAATAGGAGCCCAATGGGATTCCAATCGGATTCCGATACAACAGAACTCCAAACGGACTCCTAACTAGGATCGGATTACAATAGGATTCCAACAGGAAGCCACTATTATTCCAATCGGATTCCAACACAACAGTGTTCCAATTGGATCTCAATCGGCTCCCATTAGGATTCCAATAGCATTCGAATGCAATAGGATTCCAATAGGACCCCAAATTGAGTCTCATTCGTATCATTATTCTTATCCGCTGCCTTTCCTGATGATCATTCGTACTGTATTTTTTCCGTTGTGCTATCGGAGAGGGGTGGCGCTGGGTTTTTTTTGGGGTGCGCGTGCGGTGCTAAGATATCGCTCCGTGCGTGGTGGGGGCGATATCGTCGGATGGACCTCCCTGTAGGACGGCCAGGAAATGAAAACCTTTGTATACGGGCAGCCATATAAATTGATAGGTTCAAGGCGTACGGCAGTTTTCCTAGTAGTATTGTTTTTCTTCCTGTTCGTATTTGTGTGATTTGTTCGTATTTGTATTCTTCGTATTCGCGCTTCGATGATTAATACTGTTTCGATTAGCGTACGTGTTAAGATAACCCCAGGTGGGTTCTTAAATGTTTTCTCCGGTTATGCGGAAGCGTTATATTTGTATTCGGCACCAGATTCATTGAGGTTTTTCTTTTCGTCTTGTTGTTTGGCATCCTCTTCGTTGTCTGAGATGACGGTTTCAGTCCGGCGTTGTGGGCGATCATGTTGATGGTGGCAGCAGTGTTGAGTGGCAAGGCGTTGTCATTGCACGTATTGTTGCAGGTATCTTGGACTTCAGGATAACGGGTGCAGAGATGGCGATGCCTTGATGTTGAAAATGGTTCGTGTGGACGAGGAGTAACAGCAGGAGGTGGACCAGTCGGAGGATGAAGATAATAGGAAGTAGGAGGATGAACGGGAGAATGAGCCTAAGGAACATCAGCATCGGCAGCAGCAGGTTGCCAGCAGTGGGCTGTGGATGACGAGGTGGGGTTCTTCAGTCGGTCTCCTCTAGGCCGTTGAGCTACACACACAGCAGCAACCATTACAATGTTGCACGCCTTCTGCAGCCTGAGAGCTGCGGTCCAAATTGCAGAGGGGCGCTGTGAAGGGAGAGGGAAGAGGGGTTATTGCACGGGGAGCACTCTCCCACCTCGTCTTCTCCTCTCCCCCTTGTCTCCCCGTCCCCTCCTCTCCCCCTCCTTCCCCTCTGTGCGGCTGGGGGAGAATTTGACATGCGATCCCACTTTTAAGTTTCAGTTTAAAGCTGCCTCGCAGGCGCCCGTGTGCACGCCTTTCCTCGCAGCCCCCCGAGGCAGCGAGCCCGCCCTTGCAAGGCCGGCCCGCCGGCAGAGTGTACAGAGCGGGCGCCCCGTGGCACCCGCGAGCTCTGTCAGAGCGCGCGCGAGAGGAAGAGCCGATTGCTTCGCAGGCCGCCCTGCAGATCGAGCGCGTACGCGGTGCTCCGGGTGCGCGCGTGCACTTGCCCGCTCCCGTGCCTCGAGTGTCGCCTCGCACGCGGGTCTCCGTCCTCGCGCGGCGGTGTTCGTTCGACGCGGATTCGGAGTCCAGCAGTTCTCCCCCACTTGGCGTTCATGGCTTCACCCCATCCTGTCTCTCGGGTTCAGCTTTCGGATGGCTGCCCCGCGAACGTAATCTGCTCTCCGAGATCACCTACGTAGGTGCGCTCTTCAGTCGGCTGCACCCGTTTGAATGCAAAGCTCGCGGGCGTTGTGTACAGAGAGATATCCCGCGCAACAGTACATAGTAGCATGCACAAGGCACATTCAGGGGGAGGAGTGTGGAGGAGGGCGGAAGGAGGGGAAGAAGGCAGGAGGAGAAGAGAAGGCATGAGAAGGCAGGA